ACAGTGACGGTTGAATTATACAGTCGTACACACATACTACTATTTATTTATGCAGGGTAATATTTCCCAAAATGCACCAAAAAATTAACTTTCTAAAAGTTGGGTGTTTCTCATAAAATTATCCAGGAAAATTCTCATAAAATTATCCAGGAAAATTTACGCCGCTGACAGCTGTGGTTAAAACGTCGGAAGCTGGGCAAACTTATTTTCATGTCAGTGTGCATTTTACTTGCAAAACGGAGAACTGACAATTTTAAAAGTTTTCATAATTCTTATGTCACTAAATTTCGAGCAGAATATAGAACACAGGTAATAGAATGTGCATACGAAAAAAAACACAAACAGAACCGTGGTTAATATACCAAAGAGCAAAAATGGTTGGCTATTCCGTAAACACACCCTAAAAAACCATAAATTTAATTCAAAATAACTTATTTTTTGAAATCTTAATTCAAAATAACGCCAAAATACCAAGTTTCAATCGCAATATGAACTAGAGCAACATTTTGCTACTTTAATAAGCAGGTGAATTTTTAACACTTATTCTATTCTTAATAAATGAAGAATTTTAAGAACTAATTAGCTATCTTGTGTATAATTCCTAGATTTAGCTATGATATAATGTGAAAATGGATAAAACTGCGGCTCGAAAAACTAACTAGTATAATACGACAGTGAATGAAAAATGGACATATGGAGATAACCAACTTTGTCGAGAAAATACAAAAAAGCGCAATTCTCCATATGTCAATGAGCAAATGACTTTTGCAACTGGATGAGACTTGACGTGACGAACTTTTTATTTCAATGCTGACTCAAACTTCAAAACTTTACAATATTTTTTCAACTCCAGTTTCACAAGAATCTTGAATTTTCCAAAAAAAAAAAAAAAACTGCAAGACATCACCAAAATTACTGGAGCACAACAATACCTAACAAATGGTTGCTATTTTAACATTTAAAATAAGTCATCCAAATCACTGAACAAATTGAATAAAATTCAGTTATTACAACGACTAGCTCTACTATTGGCAGTAATTGGCTCGCTAGAACCAGCAGTCGCAACCATTGAGATGCCTCCAGTTGCTCTGGTTGAAAGAGCGACGGTACTGGAACAAATCACTGGATCTGCCAATGGTTGAAGAGCCATTAAAATAGCTTGATACAGAGAAGCTGCTTCACGTACGTGATTAAACTTCAAGACAAAAGCTTGTAATTCTACCGATAATGGCTGAAAGCGAAATTTGGTAGAACCAGCATTAATGTATCACAAAAATTTCTTCTTAAACGTGGACTTTAAACCCTTCTAATATGTTCATAAACTTCAATTTACTCTATTGATCTATTGTAGATCAAAGGCTACAAGATTAAAAATCTTTAGATGAAATTTAGTAAGAAAACTATTAATAAAATGTGCATTATATGAAAAAAGCATACCCGAACATCCCAAGTACGACTTCGAATAAGTGAAGAAAGAAAGACGCACACCACCCGTACTTGACGACATTGCATAAAAGGCGTTTGATCTGGTTCTTCACAACGACGCACACACGTTGCAATATAACTATTGAGATATTCTTGTGGAAATTCAATTTGCTAAAATAATTTCTAATATATCAATTTAATACAAAAGATATACAAACAATTAGTCTGGCAATATGAATGTTTTAAAAATATAAATATATCAGAAATTATTCGCGATTTTCATTTCTGCTATAAAGGAGACTGAAAAAAGGTCTCAACAACATCATCTCTTTTAGTTTTCAATTTGCTGCTCCTTTTCACCCGACATTCTGAATAGAAAACTTGATTAATATAAGTCACTCAGCGACGGAGAGAGACTGAAGAAAGTGGACTAATATGGACCAAGTCAATTAAGTTAATGACGGCAAAAGTGTTCAAGTTAAAATTCAGACCACATCTTTATAGACTTTAAAACTATTCAAGTTATTAATTCTGAAAACATACAGCACACAGTTTGTTTACTACTTCCATGGCTTGTACTGAAATCTTCATTCCAGCAAGTAATTGGAAAAACCTGCAAACAAATACAATAATCAACAGATAGGTTGTGTAGAGTTAAAACTGAGCAGTCTAATAATTTTAGAAAAATATTTACTGAGGCAATTCATTGCAGTTTTGAGTGATTCGAGCTACAATAACAGCTGCTGCAATTGCCGGATTATCGTCAATATATTTATCAAACTGAAATTTGCAAATTTCAACTACGAACTCTGCGATATGCAGGTAAATCTTGAATTTTCAAAACTGAGAAAAATACACAATGATTTATTAATACATAGACTAAATGCAAATGCAACAGGGATGCAAAAAGTAACCTTGGTTAAAGGGATATCTATAAGTTCAGCTAATGAAGGATCTTTTGCAATAGCTTCGGCTAATTTCTGCGCTTCTGTTCTTGTAATGATTGACACCAAAGATTTTTTTAAGAGCTCTGCAGCCTCCACAGACGTCATCGGCTGTTTCTTTTCGGATGAAAGTGGTGATATAACCGTTTGAGACTGCAGTAGATATTTTAAAAATTGTGATAATAACGACAAACATCAAAATAACTTTAGTTTTCATTTGAAAAACGGACTTCAGGAGGTATTTCGACCGATACATCTGTTTTTGGCTCTGTTAGAGCGTCACTGTTGATAATATCAGCTTTTTCCTCGGAAAATATTAATGTAGAAGATGCGTGATAAGCCTCAGCCAAAGGTTTATCGTCTGATGTAGACGTAACAATACTGGGTGTACTAGGAAGTGAAGAACAAATCTGAAGGGAAAACTTCATTAATCTTGCTCCCAAATAAAAGTGATAAAAGTAGAAGCAGAAACAAACTGAGTAAATAAAAACGTACATCCAGGTATTTTCAAAAACGGATCGTTTAGGCCAGACCTTATTAGAAACATCCATAGAATCCTGCTGAATTTCTTTGGCCGACGGAGGTGACAATATGGGAGATGTTTCCAACTCTGTGTCTTCTGATTTCTCACTTATCACTTGGTTTTTACGAACAGTATTCATTGGACTGAAGACATGGGAGGTGTTGGATAACGCTCGTACATCCTGTTTCTCAACGCTCGTTTCCATCCACATGGGATCCAATATGAAAGGATACAGAAATTGAAACTGAAAAACATCGATATGAAATCAGAACATATAATTATGATATGAAAGAAATATAAATTCCGGTAATGCTGGTAAAACTAAAAATATAAACAAATTCAATCTTACCTCATCATCTGAGGGAGGCATTAATGAAGGTGTAACACGATGAAATGAAGGAGGAAGAATTTCAAACAAGTAAGAATTTGTTAATAAATTGGGGAGCAACATAGATGGCAGTGATTCGACCTGTCTGAAAAGATGGTCTCTTCATAAAAACTAAGAAAACAATTTTACTGCAATAATTGTACTTTGCTAAATAAGAACAACACTACAAATCTTAATTAAAAGCAAAGTAAAGCATACTGATTCTTTGTCTTCTCATTTATTATTCTGATAACAGCTGGGGTAGTAGCTGATGCAATCGAAGGATATTTTGCCTGGCGATTTTTAAGCGCCGTTATATGTCGCGTTATATCAAAATCCTTAAAAATAAACAAATAAGAGTCGAATTTCTAGAAAAAAAATTTAGTTCAATAGAAATACAACCTGCTTTGGAATTTTCATCATGGTAATATCGACTGGAGTACGACTGGCAATTTTGTCCAACATTTCTGTTAATAAGCAACCAGTGATGTATTTCTCGCGAATTCCAAGTTTTGGACAGCCCGACATTTTTACTTCCACAGGACTATCCTTGTCATATTCCTGAATAATATAAACAAAGTTCAAAATGCAGTAAATTAAAATGCTTTAGTCTTTCATGTAGGTCGTTATACAAAAGAAATACAAATCTTACCATAACGGATAGAAAAAAAGACAGAAAAGGATGTTGAAGTACATCGCCTTCCGTTGATTCACCGTCAAGTTCAGCAGACCTGGAAATAATGCGGTGAGACAGATGAATGTCTGTGATAAATTAATAAAACCACTGGCATGATGACTCAATAACAAAATTACCTAGTATTTGATGTCCTTTTAAGCGTTCTGTACTAAATATTGATAAATACGATAATACTAATAATAATAATACCAATAAGCTGAATATTACAAGATAGAGAAACCTGTACAAGAGATAAATAAGAACTACTCGGTGCCTTAAATTTTCAATGCCATCAGATTCTTTAAATGCCAATAATAACGCATAACCGATAGAAAAACTAGTGTGTCTTCCATTGAAAGTCTGGAAATTCTTGTTGGCAATTTTTATTTTACGCAGAAAATTCTTTTCAAGAGAAAGAAAAAAATTTGACGGAAACACCCATTTCTGTGATAATAATCTACATAAAATTCATCTAATGTCCATTTAATTAGCATCGAATCCATTTAATCAGTATTGATTTTTAGTGATGAATACAAGAAAAGAAAAGCATTACACTCAAATAGGGACAGCAAACATAAAATAAAACTTACACTGAGGAAGATATTACCGATTGATTCAAACGTTTGTAGCGTGCTACGACACAATCTAAAAAATAAATTAGTCGTTCACAAATTAGCTTGTCATTTTGAAACTTTTATTCAAGAAAGAGTAACTAGAACTATAAAAAAATTATCGTGGAATGTAAAAAAATATCAATATCACTTCATTATCATCTCCACATCATCTTCCGTTATTTTTGGGGTGAATTGTTTTCTCGGTGCATCACTTTTTCCAATCATTTAACTGCTTTTGCAAATCAATACCTGCAAAAATCTTGCGAATATTTAATTCGTTCTTATCCACACGTACGCAATGTAAAAGGAAAAAAAGGAAAAAAATTTAATATCTTCACACAAAGTATGGATGAGAATCATTCAATTTTCCACCTCCAAACATAATCTTCCATTACTTATAACTCAGGGGAAAGCCAGTCTATTCAATGATAAGATAGTGAAGTAAAATTAACATGTGGATCGAAATAATTCGCGTGAACTATCGCTCAGCAGCACAAAATGACTGAAAGTTCCTCGTGAAAGCAAATTTCCCAAATTTAACATCATACAATCGATCCACTTAACAGTTAGTGGACGGACAGAAACAGTTAACAAAGAAACCTCTTTTTTCACCGCGATAAGCTGCTAAAATCCATCCATTTTCATTATACGAATCACTTGTTTAGAGTTATTTGCAAACTGAGTTTGGACCTATTAGTGATCGTTTTCGGGAGCCGAATTGACAACTTAACATGACATTTGCAGTGGACAGCCCGATTTTGATGACATTTCCTCCGCAACCAATACTGCGTTGCCTTGTCGTCTGTTCAACTTTCGCTATATTTCTAACAGATCTTATTAACCTTCACCACCATCCTTTCCGTGCACTATTTTCTCCTTCTGTCGGAGAGAAAGCTAATTGACCTTTTGACCTCAACACAGATTCCAAATCAAGCGTTAGATTGCATCTCCTAAGTCTTCTCAGAATTTATCACTAAATTTATGTTCCCAGTCAAAATCGTGACATTCGGAAAAGTAGTTTATCAACGTTTGTTTCGTTCATTTCGTAAAAAAGTCCCTCTCTATTGTTATGTTGAAATTGCATTGTGAAACCGTCGACCTTTAGATCACCAATCGTGTTGTGTGTGGTGCTTTCATGAACACAGTTATAAACTTGATTTTTTATTAAATTTAATAAGTATAAAATAGAGAAGCGAATGCATGAAAAAATATAAATGGTAATTGATCAAACTAAGTTATCAAGAACTTCGTTACACACAACCTTCCATTCAGATGATAGAAAGAATCAATTACAAACCCGAAATCAATATTTTGAAAATGAAATTCTTGTTAATGAATGAACTCGTTATAAAGAAAACATGAAATAAAAAAAAACAAATGGAAGTTTCAATTCTGATTATCTGGTCAATGACAGAATAAAACTATACGTTTAAAGTTTGTAATGGCCAGGTGTTACAGACTGTTTCACAATTGATACTTTTTTTGGCATTGAACGATGTCAGCCAAAAATTTTAGATATTTTCAGGTTTTCTTAAAGTCGGAAAATTTACATACTCCGATTTCACCTTACATATATTTAACTGAAGGTGCTGTCTCTTAGGAGAAATCAGGAAATAAAATAAACCAAACTTGTTCGACACATTTACTGAGCGCTAAATTGAATTTTAATTCATCAGGACAGTTATAACTGCTACCATGTCCACTTAAGCGGGATACAAACTTCGATGAACAACCTTCGGCATACAAACCTTTCAGACGAGCGGCACAGTATGCTTCAATTGTAACCATTCAAATCATCATCACAAACATATGAAAAACATTCTAACAATAGCTATCAGAAGCTCATTTGCACTTGACTATTTAAGAATCGCTTGAATGAAACACTGGGATAGAACCAAATGAAAACCCATGCACAAAAACTGTAAAATCTTGATCTGTTGTGTCGATCTCATAATTTATCATTGAAACATCTGTTAATGAATCGTTTTCTTCAGATGTAATTATCTTCAGTGCATCGACAATAGAAGCAGATCTGATGCTAGCGTTACATGCTGCTATTTCATTCTGTAAATGGTAAAATTGCAATCTTTTGTAAATATTCCAAAATGCGAGCAATGAACTGTAAAAATTCTAAAATTCCAGATACATCCCTAAAACTCTGTCGTATATTAGTCAATTACTGCAGTGGAGAAATAGGACATTTTCTGCGATACAAACAATAAAATCTCACATACTGCTGCAAAATTTCATATAATAGTTTGTGTCATTCTTTTTCCGGTATTTTAAAGGGCCAAATTTTACTCAATAAGAGTATAATCCAATCTTAAAGACAGTTCTGATAAAATTACCTGAGGCAAAGTCAGCGCTGCGTAATTTGATAGGACCGATAGACTTATAATAAATGAGAAGGGAGCAAACGGATGCCAACACAAAAATATGAGCTGTGTCTCTGGAGAGATATAATAATAGTTTTAACCTAAAAAGTGTGGAAACTAACCTGAGATAAACATTGCATGGACACATTACTAAATTTCTGCAGACTAGGGCAGCGAACCGATTGTCGTGAAAGTGTGATGACCGCCAGATATCTTTTACTGCCGAGCTGATTTTGGGGTAGATTAACCCAGAGCAAATCTTATTAGATGAGGTACTATTGATGTGAGGGGATTTATGGAGGAGTTGTAAAAATNNNNGACGATCGGAGTCTTTAACCTTTATTGAAAACAGCAATTTAAGAACAGCAGCGGTATGTAGAAGCAATGAAGTTCAAAAAACGACAGTCCTGACCCCTCTGGGGTTAGGCTTATATATCTTAGAGGATGG